TACAAATTCAGCACTCCAAGCTTGGAGATTAGGGAACTAAAAGGGAAAAGAGAGAGAGGCTTGGTGAAGACATATGTGAGCTGATGATCTGAAGCAACATGGCAAACTCTAATCACACCAGCAACGAGCTTTTCTCGAACTAGATGACAATCAAGTTCAATATGTTTAGTCCTTTCATGGAAAGTAGGATTTTCAGCTATGTAAATAGCTTACTGATTGTCACAATAGAGGCTGATTGGATGTGAATGAGGAACCTTGAAGTCATTGAGAAGAAACAGTAACCACTGAATTTCACAAGTGGTATAGGCTAATGCTCTATATTCAACTTCGCAGGAGGATCGAGACACAGTGGTTTGCTTCTTGGATTTCCAGGAAACTAGAGATCCTCCAAGAAATACACAATAGCCTGTAATGGATTTGCGTGTATCAAGACAAGCACCCCAATCTGAGTCACTGAAAGCTTTGAGAGTGAGAGGAGGCTTGACAAGAAAGAAGAGAACATGACCAAGATTTTTCTTATGAATCACAGATGGAGAACGTCCATGATGGGTTCACATACATGGCATCATTGAAAGCTGGCCATGTTATGTTGTCTTGTATCTTCTCCTTTTAGACTTTAGTGGTATCATGTCCCGATTTGAAACCTTTAGGATCAAGTCATTAGTAATTATGTATTGACTAACTTGCTGAGTAGCAAAGATTATGTTTGATCGTGTTGTTGTGAGATATATGAGTTTGCCAACTAGGCTTCTATACACAGTAGGATGGAGTCACCATCCGGTGAGGGACGCCAACGAGATGAGGTGAAAGATGGAGTCGAGGCAGGTGGCCGGCGAGATTGGGAAGAAGCCGACCACCCTCACACTCTCGCTGTCATTGTTGTCGGATGGAAGAAGAAGGGTTGTGGGACGAACTGGAATGAAGGGCACGCATAGGAAAAAATAAATAAAAGACGAGGGATTTGAAAATAGCTTATGCTCGTCAGCTATTTCAAAAACCCACGTATAAGGATTTTTGAAATCTATGATGTTTAAAGTCTCTCATTGTATAAGCGTTATCCAAACGAGTAATTTATTAAAATTCCTCGTTGTTAGAGATTTTGCCAAAACCTCTCACAAAAAACTCTCATCCAAACGGGACCTAGAAGAATTTCCCAGAAGGAAGCAGAAGCAACCAAGTGTTGCATTTAATATTGTATTATCAATTTGAACTTTTAATACTTAACCAATCAACATATTGATAAACAAACATATTCCTAGATAAATTTGTAAACCAAATAGTAACTCAATCAATTTCAGAGCATAGAGATTGTGGATACTTTGTCTTGGTGGGTAGTACGAGTACTCATAATACCCAAATGGGTATTAATGGGTTACCTGTGAGTACCCATTGTAGAACTTTTTTATCCCAAGTTCAGTCCCGAAAAAAAAGTACAAATATTTGGGTACTCGTAACTCTAAAAAACATAACGAATATGGATATATCCAAATACCCGTTTCTCGTTGCTCACTCCTACCCCTACCTAAGATCACCATTCATCCTTCCAACATCATCCCACAATATATACTAGGGGGTGGAAGTTTGGGTTGCGGGTTGTGGATAATCTGCAAACCGCACCAACCCGCAACTATTGTGGGTAACCATACCCACAAGTTGTGGGTAGTGGGCTAGGTGTGAGTAGTAAAATAACGATTTTTGTGGTTAGTGGTTATCCACTACCCACCGCGGTTAACCCACAAAATCCACAATAACCACACTAATTATATTTATTTAGTGAATTAACTTTATAATATAATAGTATGTGAAAAGTGCGAGGATAAAAATTAAAGTAGCCACCAAATAAAAAAGACATGCCTAATCAATTTTATATAACAATTTTTTAGTTTATAAAACACTATAATCGATAGAGTGGAGAACAATCAATTCATTAAAAGTGAACACCGTTTGTAACTTTTATCAATATGTTTTTGCTTTTGTGTGAAAAAAATACAAGATAATATTTAATTGTCATATTTCATCCCTAGTCGGGGAAATATGAAATCACAGCTCCCTGACACAAAAGTTGAATACCAAACTCAAAAATAAAAAATCCCCACGTTGAGTAAGATCGATGTACAAAATTGTATCTCCACGAACAACACAAGTGTATATCACTATAGTCTAGTTACGAACAACAAATACGTTAGTGGCGACTAGAACTCTATACTTGCAAAGATGGATTTTTGCGGATAACCACACCCAACCCGCACAAACCCAGAGTGAATAGTGGTTACCCACTAACCAGTACGATACAAATTATGAATAGCATAATTGTAAATTTGTGTGTGTGATACCCACAAAATGTGGAACCGGTAACCACACCCACGGCCCACCCCAATTTCCCCCCTAAATTATATACCATAAGATGTGCAAGGCGACGCCGGGCCACACAATCAATCCGTCCCCACACAGATATTTTATTCCTCAACCATAAAAACAATTCCACTAAACAAAACAAAACACCCAAAAAAATATCTGACCTCCCCACTTCCCCTTCCCATCCCTTTGCCTTGATGGCGACCTTCAGATCAGCTCTCCACCATGAAAATGAACCTCAAGCACCAAAGCAAGATCTCCACCTCTACCACCAACGCCGCTATTAATTCCCACTAACCTCTCTATAATTTAATTGCGTTGGTACAAGAGATTAGTTGGCGCTTCACCAAAACAATCTTCACATGGGACGAGGATAATAAGATTATTAAGCAATAAAACATTATGTGTTTTTTTTATGTAAAATTGGGTCTTATTGTACATTCAATAACTATTTCAGAAAGAATTTGAATATCAACCATGATGCATGCTTGTTGTTCAACACGCGATGACGTCATTGAATTGTCCTTTCGTTTGTGTCAATGTTCAATCGCTTCGCTGCTAACTCAAGTACGTAAGAGGAGATCCAAGAATATCGACACATGCGAAAGAGGGGCAGCTCAGCTAGTAGGATTGTTTGTTCGACACATGCAAAGTCATGAGTTCGATGCATGCCATCAATCAGTTGGTGCATAAAACACTTGAATAGCACCGATCGCCCTTAATAAAAAAGAAGGAAGTGAGAAGAGCTCCAAGAATATCATCGAGTATAGTACCACAACCTTAATCTAATTAGGGATTATAAGGCAGGCGCTAACAAATCTGTTCACAGTTTTTTTCTTGCACACATTGGATATTGATTTGTGTGGGGGCTAGATAGCTTCTGTTCTGTTTGTCATAAAGAAGGGAAATAATAAACAACTTCGGGATTTGAGTGGATCATATCAATGGTTGCCAATTTTGACCGAAGGAGGGAGGCCCAGTAGTTCGATCGCAGCAGAGCAGAGCAGAGCATCAGCCAGGGGAAAACAACAAAAGTTACACGCAATCACCTATCCAAATTCCCCAAATCAGGGGGTTAGAAGTTTAGAAGTGGGTTTCATTTCAAAAGGGCTGTTTGTGAGCGTTCCGAATTGTGGCCAGTAAAATCGCAAGGCCGAAACTGCAGCCACATGATCAATGGAAGAAGAAAATCTGTCTGTCTCTCTTTCCACCCCAACCAATATGATATTTTCCTAAGTCGGTACTCTCCCCCCACAGCCCACAGAAAACAAAACAATGACACACAAGACACAACACAATAATATCCAAAAGGAATTTTCCTTTTTTCTCTGTTTGGGGACACTCTGTAACTCTGTTCACCATCCATCATCAAAGCAAGCAGAGGTGATGTTTTGATGGTTGGTTGGTGTTTAAAGTTTCACATAACTCGTACCTTAGCCAGCCACAGCACAGCACGATCACTTCTCCTCCCTTCCCTTTTCTCCTTTCCCAGTATTCTCTCTCTCTCTCTGTGTTGCCTTTATGAGGCTGCACCACTCGTTTAACCTGCTACTTCAATCCAAGTAAACCACAGCCGCTGATTGTGTTGTAGTAGGGATCGTTTATTTGGATGTGTGCTGTTTTCTGTGAAATAAAGGGATTTCATTCATTTTTACCCCTTAGAATTAGAAGGAACTGATATATGCCACATATATATGTCTACCAACACACCCACTTATAAAAAAGTAAACTTACTATGGAATTGAAGTTAAGCACAAAATATAAATATCATGTGATTAACAAATGAAGTTGTCAACATTCGATTACCACACTTTTCGATCAATTATTCTCAATTAAACACACTCTACTTTTCGGTATCAATTAATTATTGTGTATCTACTTTAGAGATGACAAAAATATCTGAAATCATGGATATCCGCTCGAGTTCGACCTAAACGGGTAGGGTAAAACCCGAACTCGAATATTGCGGGTAATGGGTGGGCATGGTTTTCTCACTATCCAACACGAACCCGCTCGATTACACACATGCATATGTATTTTGTCTAGAAATAACCATTATTTTTCTCAACATTTTATATTTAGCATACAAATATAATATTTTGATGAAATTGTGTTGTTTGAGATCAATTTTTTTTATTCTAATGTATTATCGTCGTACTTTTTCATTTATAATGTGATTGTACATGTAAACGTTAACGATTGATTGAAATTATAAAAGAAATTATTATTCATAATAACCGTTGATACCCGAAATCCAAATGTTATGGACATAATTTTGACTTCTTACTCAACTCTTATATGGATATTATATGGATATGAGTATAAGTAAAACTCGAAATAATTTGAATACATAACCAATATGCAATGTATGCCAGATCTATTGCCATCTCTAATCTGCTTTAAACATTTTCCTCCAACTCCCAAGTCATGATGGATCCCTATTAATCCTATTACCCTCTCCCTCTGCCTTTAGATGGAACCGCTGTTTTCAGTGCTCACTTTAAGTCTACGTAGAATAAGTAGGTGATAAATACTTATCATATCAGTTATTACCTTGGAGTTAAGTCCATTTCAATGCTAATTCATTACAGCAAAATCACCGTCAGAGCTGTCGACATTTCAGACATAAAGAAGAGAGCAGAGCAGAGCAATAAAAAGCAAGTGATCGGGAATCGGAGTGAGTTGTCACTAACAAGTAACAACCAAACCATGTTAAATTCATATTCCTACTCGATGATACATTTCATTCCATCACTGACGGCAATACCCATTTTTTACACACCAAACAGCAGCTAACAGCCTACACAAACGAACCCTGTTATCTAAAAGCTATTATCAAATAGAATATCCCTATCTCTCGCTCAAGTCTCACCTAATGCAATAATTAATTATAAATTTAAATGGGGAAGGAGTGGGATTAATACAAACATGAAACTAATCAATGATTTAAATTAATTAATTTTCTTGTTAGGATTTTCGGAGACGCCATCGGCGGTACCTTCGAACCAACTCCCCGAGCCAAGGAAAATCAGGGGCCCTACTCCAACCATCGAATCTCTCCTTCAGATCGCACGGCTGAGATTTTCTGATGAAACTTCTTCGTCTCCTTCATCAACTGCCACCACCGCCTCCCCATCACAAATTCTCACACGATTTTGACTAATTGGATCCAGCCTCGCCAAACACTCCTCAATGGCCGCGGATCTTGCGCCGGAGCAGCAGTGTATGGCCGTTCCGATTATTCTCCGGTTTTTCAAAGGTCTCACCGACTCGTCAAGAGAAGTCGACTCGCTTGCGTGAGACCGAGTCGGAGACTGACAGTACTTCTGCCGATCAGATCGCCGGACGATATCACCCTGTCATTTTGATTCTCGAATGAGGATTTGAACGGAAAACTGGAAGAAGAGCGAGACGGGGGAAAAAAATGGTAGGATTCGAAGAAACACAAAACACACCTCAAGCAAGGATAGTAGATCTGTCTCCCTTGTTCGTTTTACAGAAACTGCTTTCCTAGATTCGACGTACTCTCCGCCGTCGCTCTCCGATGAAGAAGATGAACAAGAACTCGCCGGTGGAGGCGTTGTGGCCGAGGCAGACCACGGAACGACCTGATTATCACCATCCTCCTCATCTTCTTCGTCTTCCTCCTCTTCATCCAGCTCCGATTCCTCGCTCCCGCTCTCTTCCTCGACCTCCTCACCTCGTCGCGCCTCGTGAGTATCTCCGTTAGCGCACCGCAAGCAGAAGGAGACGGTGTGGCCGAGCTTCGCGCCGGCGGCCTGCCACGGCGTGAGCGACTGGCAAAAGTGGCAGAGCAGAGTGCGGGAGTGGCGAGCGACGAGGAAGTTAGCTCCGTGGACTTTGGCGTCGCAGGACCAGCAGAGGCTGGCCTGATCTGACTCGCAGAAGGTCTTGGCTATTGATTTGCAGAGCTCGCACATCTTCATTTTTCAGTTGTTCTTCTCCAGTGATTCACTGTGATCTTAGATCTTCTATGACTCCGACGAATCCTGAGAGAGATCTTCTCGTTTCTGCTGTAATCCGGGTGAGAATGAATGGCGGTGGTGGTGGAACGGAAGGGGAAGAGAAGATAGGAAGAAGGGAAGATGGAATTTAAATTAAGAATGAGATGAGAGAGAGGTGAGGATGGTGAGGGGATTTATGGGAACAGGCTTGTTTTTTGGTTGATATTACGGAATTGCCATCCAAGGCTGCGTTCAACAAGTGGTTCAACGAGGCCCTCTCAAATCGTCAATTATTTTATATTATTTTTCGTTTTTGTTTTATGGTTATTATTTTGGTGGTGGGTGGTGTAATGAATCTCGTCCGTTGGATGTTGTCCCCAGGAGGCTGATCGGATGCCTTTAGATTTTGGTTTGCTTAAAATGAAGATAAAGATTCTGTTCTGTGTGTACGCCCATGGCCATGAAAATTAATTAAGGATACACAATTAATGATTTATTTTCGTCCCATTCTTAATTTGAAATTGCCAGCAGAGCATAGAATTGACTTTGGGGTCTCAGAGCTGTAGCTGCCGAATAAATATCTGTAATATAAAATGAGTATTTTACTGTAATCCCATCCTTGTCAAGTTAGATTAGAAGAGGTTCTTGGTCGAAAGTATTGAAGCAAGTTAATTAATGCCACTTGGAAGGCCGTTTTATCCGAATATCAATATTGATTTTCTCATGGACAAGTTGTTTTGGATTAATTTATAAAATTGTGGACATGTCAATTGTGGTGTAGGATGGTCTCCCGGGTGAAAATTCTAAAGAAGAAAAAAAGAAGCTGTTAGTTAATGAAACACATGGAATGGAAGAGAAGAGAATAAGAGCAGCTCGCAAATATTTTAATCCTATGAACCTACGGAGTCCACACGATTATTTCAGTTCCTTTCTTATGTATGGTGTAGAAACAAAATAATAATGATTAATCAAAAGAAAGGAGAGAGGAAGGAAGAATGGGGTGGGGTCTAGTGAAAGAAAGGGTGTGGTTGAAAGTGGCTGGCGGAGGAGACGGTGGAAAAATGAATGAAAGGAGAGGAGGGGCAGAACGGTCAAAATGGCTTTTTGTTATTGTTGTTAGAATATATGAGTGAGAGAGATATTAGTTAGTAGCGCTTGGTGGAGGTGGGTGATTGATACAAACACTACAAGTAGACAGACTAGTGGTGCAGCAGACTGCAGAAAGAAAGAAGGAAAGCTATGGGCTTTGTACAGTACAGTAACAGCGTTCCTTTCTTGCGGAGGAGTGGCTTCGTTTTGTTTTGTTTTGTGGTTGTGGGGGCGGCGAAACCCAATCCCATCTCCCCAGCCACAGCCCACAGCCAGGCAGAGGCAGCCATAAAGCAAGCGAGAAAGAGAGAGAGAGAGAGAGAGAGAGGGGAGGGTGCGGATGAAGTTGTGGTAAGCCGGCCTGCCATGTGTCGTCTTCCCCATTCCCCCATCCATCCTCCCGGTCCCGCCTCCGCCCTTCCTTCCTAGCTTGATATTTTGTGTTATTACCTAATAAATTAAGGCAAAATACACTTGTGTAGCCAAAACTTTGACGGTTTTGCCAAATATAGCCACTTTTGAATAAATATAAAAAATAGCCACTTTTGAAGAAATATAAAAAATAGCCACTTCCGTCCAATTCTTTGACGGTGTGAGTTAACGTGCTGACTGGACTAACGGATCGTCTGATCTGGCGATTTTTGTCTGTACGTATTTCCCACGTGGATTTACTAATTTTTTTAAAAAAATAACAATAATTAAAATTAAAATATTTTAAATGGCTGGGTCTTTTGATTTATGAAAAATAAAAACTAATAAATAAAACAAAAAAAAAACTTTTCTCACCCAACCTACCCTCTGTTCTCCGCCCTCTCCCCACCTCCATCGCCATCTCGATTCTTCCCTGCGATGGCATTGCCGCCAGACTAGGCTGGGAATGGATTTCGCCATGGACGAGATTTTCGTCCCACTGCCTCGTCCCTTCACCTTCTTCCTTCTCGTTCCTTTCACAAGCAGTCGAACCGTCAGAGAGCTCCCCCAACGCGGCTCTGCCCTTCGAATCGTCATAGAGCTTGTCTAGAATTCCCAACGGGCCTCTCGCTCATGCTCTGCTCTTTCTAGGAGGAAATTATCATCTCCGGGTGGAACGAGACAGAGTCGGCTTCGATTAGGGATGATCTGAAAGCGGTCACCGAATTTTGAGGTTGAGATCTGAAGGAGCCGGAAGATTAGGGTTAGGAAGAGGTTGGATACGAAGGGGGAGATTGGCGGCGATTCTGCTTCCGTCTGATTACAAGAACCAGAGTAGAGCCTTGATCGATTCCGGCGAAGTAAGGCGGTCGCGAGCTGCTGTTTCTCCTCCTCCTCCGAAAGCGGCGATGAGCACGGCGGCGACGTCATTGGAGCGATAAAATCTGCTTTTTCTCCTCATCCAAACGCGGCGGTAAGCGATGGAAATTCGGTTATGTTTGCTCTTGTTTCTCACAGCACCCGATCTTCCTCAAGCATTCTCGGTCGTTTAGGGATTTTGGATGAACTAACTCGATTTGGGGTTCTTTTTTCGAGTGGAAGAGAGAAGAAAGGGTCCTAGGTTTGGGAATCCACCGCCGTCGAGTTCGCCATCTCCGTCTCTGGTGATTCTCCGGTTGGTTGAGTTTGGTGCAAAAAGGGGTTTAAGGGAAACTGCGGGAACCCACCTCCGTCGAGTTGCAGAAGACGGCGACGATGGTTTGAGAGAGAGGATCGACAGCATGAGTGGTGGGAGAGGAGAGAGAATGAGAAATATTTGTGATTTTTTATTTATTTTTAAATTAAAATATGACATGGTATTCATGTGGCAAGTGTTGTTGAGTTGGCGATGATGTGTTGGTTAAGTTGGCAGCCATGTAAGCATTCCGTTAATTTGACTAACGGTGTGAGTGACGCCGTTAAAGAATGTAACGGAAATGGCTATATTTGTCATCAAACATTCAAAATTCTGGCTATATCTCGTATTTCGCCAAAAATGGCTATTATTGTCACAATCGTCAAAGTTTTGGCTATGGAAGTGTATTTTGCCATAAATTAATAAGAGCCGTACTATTTGCCGCTCGTGTTTTACTATTTGTCGCTCATAAATCAAAATAAAATGATATTTTTACCCTTTGTCCATTTTTTATAACACAAACCCCCATTCCACCACAACACCAGTGACCACCACTGTCGCCGACAATAGATCACCGTCGGCCCCGCCACTCCTGCTGCCGCCGGCGCCACTCCACCATCGCCAGATCACCACCGCGGCCAGCACCAAACCATCACAACCATTGGATTTTAAAAATAATAAATAATGTTGCCTCTAATTAGAGGTGGCAAATGGATTGAATCTATGGATGTGTGGATCCATGGATTATATGAATTTTGATCAAATGGATTAGTGGAATCATGGATTGGATTATATCAAATGACATCTAAAAAATTGAACTTATATATAAATTTTGGAACTCATAATAAGAATTTTAAGCTATCAAAATATAAATTTCAATGATATTTTACGTAAAAAATTAAAATTTAGAAATATAGTTACTAAACTGTAATTTACCAAATATTCATGAATCCACCAATCCAATTGGATTTAAATGGATTCGTTTCGTTGGATAATATTTAAGTGGATGAATTCTATTGGATTGAAAATCGTCATCTCTACCTCTAATGTTAGGTCATTATAATCGAAATCTAATTGCATTCATGGTAAATTAATTATTTGTTTTATTTCCTATATATATTTTAAATATTTGATCGTAAATTCATAATAAATAAGGAAAATAGTTCATCTCAATCCCGCAGTGGAGCGCGGGCGGGCATATCTAGTATGCTTGTAAAGGCATACAAATTGACATTTAGTACATATATATTTCTGAAGCTCAATCTGAAATGTTAGTGATATAAATGAAAGCGTGTACAATTTCAGGCAGGTTTGTTTAGCAACCAAAACAAGCTTGCAATAGAGAATGATATAAGAGTGGCTATACTCTAGGGTGACGGTTTGGTTTGGGTATTAATAGAAATCGAACCAGTTTGACACTTTTTTCGGATTTCCTTTAACTTGTAAAAACCAATAAGCCCATAACAATTTCGGTTCGATTAAAATCACAAATATGTTAATAAAGTAAAAAAATAAACAAATTTAAAAAATAAAGTCATGAATGGGCATAGACCACACAATTAACGGTTCGATTTTTTTGTTTTCGGTTCATTCTAACCAAAACTATAGGCATTGACTGTTTGGGGCTTCTGATTGTGGACAATCATCTAATCTTCTGTTCTGCTAATTGACTTTTACAGACCGTTTGGTACCAAATGAACCGGGAATTCATTTCATTTTAAAATGAAAAATAAATTCTTGTATTTGGTATGTCATGTTCAAATATGTAGAAATGAAATGAATTGAATTCTCAAATCATGTTTGGTTACATTCGGAATTAAATTAAATTAAAAATTTTCAACTACGCCCTTATTAATTTCCATTAAATCGAAATAACTAATAGCTCACGGTATGGAGGATCAGTAATCCAAATGAGCTATAGTAAACGAATAAAAACTATTCCATGGTTCCTTTATTGCAATACGTGAATGGATGTGTGGAGTTTCCATTGCAAAAATCCAATTTTAAAGAAGCAAAGATCCAAATTGCAGGGATCTGCGTTGAGCCTTGAATAAACAGTCAAACAAATTTTTAAAGAAGTTCTGCATCTCCCTGATAACTTCAAAACTTGGTTCCAATTATGAGGTTATAGTGATCGATCAACCTCAGACACTAAAAATAAACAAGGACCCATACAACCAAATCAAAACTGGGAGAATCACATCTATATGAAACATTGAAAATCCAAATTCTAAAAAATGCAAGTGATAAAGTTATTATGAAACCAATATGACAAAACAAAATGTTCGAAAAAAGTAGCAAATAGTTTGAAGCTCCATCTTCTAAATATCTTCATTGTAACCCATTTTTCTCTTGAGCCAAGCGAGCTTGATCTCCTCGTCACAAGCAAAGAACCTTTCAACTAGATGCTCATTGTCCTTCAAAAAATCGAGTGCCTCCATAACTTCCCATTTGTCTAACTCCAATTTTTTTAACTCGGCTGAAAGCTCGGTAACAGCATATATCCGTTGATTGCTATTTTTTAAGGCACTAGCAATTTCTTTCATCGAAGATGTTACCTGCATAATCTCTTCAGCAATGGTACTGGACATAGATCTCTTTCTTTTGGTTCCTTTGGTAGACTCTTTCCCGGGCCGCGCTTTTACTTCAACATTAATTGGTGGCACCGCTACTCCTGGAACTTGGCTAGCTTCTGGCACTAATGGATCAAGGTGAATCTCGTCGTTGGCCAGCATCCTATCAATATCATCAATTCCCAACTCTCATTCAACATTGTGGTACTTAGTAAAATTTTCCTTAGCACTCATGGCACCATCTCCATTTGCTCGATCTTTCTCGAATAATTCTCGAGCATTCTCCAAAAAATGAAGTTCCTTATCCCGAATCTAATTGTAATCAGGCTTCATCTGAGAAAAACAGTTGACAAAAGAAGTGAAAAATGAAAAAACATCATTATTCTTAAGTACAAACATCAATCAAGTAAACATTACCTTTATTATAGTATCCCAAACACTTGGAGCAGCTTCAATTTTTTTGGTTGTATCATTCCATCCGAAGCCACTCTTTTTATCTAAGACCTCCATGGCAAGCCCCATTTGCTTTTGGATAGTCTTTAGCCTGTTAACTGCCTTTGTCTTATCGATAGTTTTACCATGCTTTTTAAACCCCAAATTTAGCCCAGCAATGACAGGAGTCTAAGCAGCTTTGTTAAATTGCTTCTCATCCTTATTTCCTTTGGCCTTTTCCTCCTTCAGAAGGTCTAAAAGAAGTTTATCCATCTCCTTTGGCCACCTGAGGTATTTGTAAGACTTTTGAGTATTGGTGTTCAAAATTTGGACTTCATCTTCACCCACTGCCATAATCTATTTGAACAATTAAACAAATACAAAATACGAACTAAGTAGATGCAACAACTTCCATTAAAGACAATAATATCCAATGTAAAAGACAAAAATTGTTTCAAGAACTAGGAAAAACACATTTAGGAGCTTGTGACTAGCATCTCGAACATAGTGACTCCACATCTGGAATGCTATATTGTCTCTAATTTTTTCTGCGGTCTTAGCATCTGCGTCTCTATTTTCAGATCCACTATCTTCTTCTTCAACATTATTTTCCATCAATTCTTTATCAACCTCACGAAGAATATCTTCATCAGGATCATACATCAAAAGAAAGTCATGCAAAATACAACAAGCAAGCACAATTTCAGAACGTGTGTTGACATCATGATGAGCTTCTGAACCACTAGTGATAATGGAAAATCTCTTTTTCAGGACACCAAAAGCCCTCTCAATTGCATTACGCAATGATGCATGTCGTAGATTGAATAACTCCTTTGAGTTCCCCGGAGGACAATGAGAATACTCTTTTAAATGATATCTTGTGTTTCGGTACGGCGTGAAAAAAATATTTGCCTCAAAGCATAGCCCGCATCAACCAAGTAAAATTTACCTATATTCAAACAAAAGAATAGTTTTTTTTATAGAGTACTAGCTCATTAACAAAATGAACAGGCACTTTTTTTTTTATCTCTCACTACCACCTACCTGGAGGAACTTTTAGTTTGTCATCTCTTATTAAGGCATTCTCCAATATTCTTGAATCAGAAGCTGATCCTTCCCATCCCGCCAAAGCATAGGTGAACTTTAGGTCAAATGTGCATGCTGCTAATATGTTCATTGTGGGGATTCCTTTCCTACCCCTATATCTTGGTGCTTCTTCTTGTGAAACTTTAGCACGAACGTGGGTTCCATCAATAGCACCAACACAATCCTATACTATCTAATTATGTTAGTACACCAAAATTCTACACTTTTTAACATATATCAATTGAATATTACTAGTATATATTTACCTTAAAGTATGGATAAAACCGGCCTTCACTATCCAATATCTCTGGAGGGCTATTGATCCATTCGGTTGAACCAAAAATTCTGCTTCTAATGACAATATGGCCTTGAGGACTCCATGAAAATGATGACTGATTGTCTCTCCGCTCCAGCGAAAGAAGAAATTAACTACGCGATTTCTTGCATTATGTGCTAATGTATATAGAAATATTGCAACTTGCTCTTCAACTGAACTATTTTTATTTATCATTCAACAAGTTTCTCTCCCTTAGTATATGAACTAATGTTTTGAACGCCTTTGGTCCCATGCGTAGAATATCAAAAGTGTTCTTGTGTGTTTCTATTCTATTCTATTCATTAGCTCTTTTCTAATACTTCATCGATGAACCCTACACTCCAGTTGTGGCTTTTCAACATACTGATATAACCGAAGAAGAAATATCAAATAACCAGCATATGCTACTAACGTTCCAATCAAATTTTTGTCGTTGTTCCTCATACTGCATGCAAAATAATAACATATAAACTATAATATACACATATACACACAAATGTCGACAATATGAGCATAACAAAAGAAGAGACAGTAACATAAAAAAAACATAAAGTGATCTCAATAACAGACAAAGGAAACACATATATTATACATAAACCTAATCTCATTATAAGCTCATTAGCATCAGCTTTACGTGTAGATATATAAGAGCTTTGAACCATGTAACAGAAACAATACCCATCAAAGAACCGCAAAAGCAAAACACATAAATAAAACTAACCTTCTTTGTGGCGTGATTGATACAGAATTGAAGAAGAAGGGAGTTGCGCCGGTAGCTTGGTAAATTGGGAGTCTCCGATGAAAGTAGGGTTTGGTTATAACCACAGAGCTGTATATAGGGTTTAATATACCCGGCTGAAGAAACTAAGTACGCGCGCAAAATTGTTTAAGCGCCAAACTAATATACAGGTGAGTAAATTAATTAATAATTAAGGATAATTATGTAATTTTATTATAATTAATAAATTCTTGTGGAATTCATTTGGAAATTCCATCTCAATTCCACGGAATTGCTATAACTAGCTCCAATTCCATAGAATTCAAATTTTAGAATTGAAAATGAATTCTTTTATATACCAAACACAAAAAAATTCATTTCAAAATGAATTCCTCAAAACTTATGGAATTCATTTATACTAAACGGTATGTTAAGAAAAATTCTACATCCAACTTGATTCTTCTCTCCTTTGTTATTTCTTCTTCTCCTCTAAAGGTATCGTTGTTCTTTAGCATCATACTTTTTAACCAACATTACATAAATTCGGGAGGCATCACCCCTTCACTTAGATTTTTGGAGGTTCTAAAAATTAAGGGCCAACCCTCACTGAATATTTGGATTGAGAATGATTGTATATCTTTTTATTAGAACTTTGAAAAGAATTTTATTAACACTGAATCGCTAAATGTCGCCCTAAGAATTGCTAAACGTCGCTCTAACTTAAAAGTCTAATTACCTATATACCCTTAATGAAAATTTAAAACTTTGAGCAACCAAACAGCCCTCACCCCTTCACCCTCCTTCCCTTCCACCCTTCCACCCACCCTCCGCCCTCTGCAAATACCCGCCGCCGCCGCCGGAGAAGAAGGCTGAACCGCCTCGCCGCCGATCATCTCGCCACCCACCCTCTGGCCTCTGCAATCTCCCGCCGCCGTCAGAGAAGAAGGTTGAACCGGCAACCCCCTCGCCGCCGATCATCTCGCCACCCACCTCTGCCATCTGCAATCTCCCGTCGTCGCCGGAGAAGAAGGCTGAACCGCACCGCCAGTCGTCGCGCGACTCCTCTCTCGCCGCCCGCGTCCAGTCGCCGCCGCTGAAGCATCTCGTCGCTCCCGCTCGCGTCGACCCCGCCCGTCGCGCCGTCGCCGCTCGCGTCGTCCCCGGAGAAGACACCGTCGCCGCTCGCGGAGAAGGTAACGAGAGAGACTCGCGATTTGACCGTGGCCCGATCGCGGTCAACGCGCGGTTGACCGTCGATTTAACCGCGGTCAACGTGCGGTTGAGCCAGCGGCTGACCGCGGTCAAAGCGCGACCGCGCGTTGACCGCGGTCGGGACTTTTTTTTTAAATTCTGTTTTTTAATATTCTGTGTTTTTATTATTCGTTAAATAAATGTTAATAATAATAAAAAAATTAAAAAAGTATACTTAATAAAAATAATTTAGTTATATTATTGATAAATGTTAATTTCGTTATAATGATAATTAATAATAACGTATTCGATAAATGTTAATTTAGTTATATGATATAAAAAATTTTAAAATCGTATTCGATAATTGTTAATTAAAGATAAAAAATTTAAAGAACATTATAAAAAATTAAAAATGTGTTTTTATCATTGTAATAATCAAAATTTCAAAGTAATTCGTTTATCTACTTAATTATTAATAATTTTACCTTGATTAAAAAGTAAATAATTATTACATAGAACATAACATAAATGTTAAAACTATTAGTTTTATAATTTTATTTATGAAAATCTTAAATTAATTACTTTATGTCCTCCATTATTAATAATTCAAACTTTTTTTTGAAGATGTCTGGACATGGAATGGGTAAACCGGATATGATTAAGGCGAGAAATAAGGAGAGAATGGAAGGTCGTGCTTGTAGACTTACGGCGACTGGTAGGAAGGAAAATGAAGAAAAAAATCCACCTAAGGTTAGAAGGAAGAAGAAGAAGGCGGATGTAGTGCGTCCTGACGGCCACCCTACTGTGGGGCAATTGTCTCTTAGTCGAGGTACTACCAGTACTCCTACACCAGAGAGCGCACCGGTATTGCAGGCTAATTGGAGTGATTCCATTGACGAGGATGATGATGATGACGGTGATGCTGAGGTTGGGAATGCCCCAGATGCTGGTGATGATGCTGGTGATACTGCTGTTGATGATGTTGGTGATCGTGCTGGTGATGCTGAGGCTGGGGATGCCCCACCTCAAGCTGATTTAGGCGTGGGGAAGACGGCGCGGGTCGGGGTATCTTCTACTGCCTCCTCCCACTTCCGTGGGCCCGATGGACGCTATGCGTCCAGACCTAGTAGCGAGGATGGCGGAGATGGAAATAGGAAGAGGAAGACCACGAGGAAAGATATGTCGTGGTTTCTTACAGCCGAGTCTCCGATGTGTTCAGGTGGACCAGTGATTCCCGATGTGATCCCTAGCTTTGGAGGTCACATTGGCTTTGTACTCTGGAATTCCCCTGAGCAGGACCGTGGAGTGTTGGACGGCTTCCATAGGCCGAGAGCTGTAGAGACTTTGAGGCGATATAAGTGGAGTGCAGAGGGTTCCAAGGAGATGGTTGAAGCCACAGGATTGTCTCACTTGACTGGGTGCATGATGCAGCATTTAGACATGGCTCTACTGTCGGCATTTGTGGAGAGGTGGCAGCCGGGCACAAACACCTTCCACATGCCGTTTGGAGAGATTTCGATCCTTCTACACGATGTGCATCACATTCTTCGGATACCGGTTGACGGAGAGCTGATGGGAGATGAGGCGTCACAGGATACTCTTAAGTCAGATATGGGTGGTCTAGTTCGACTTTCGGTGGATGCTCAGGTTGGTGGTAAGTGGAAGTCTAAGTGGTACGATAATGGTGCTATGCATGCAGAGGGATTGTTGGTGCGTGGGGGAGAGCTGAAGATTAAGGAGATGGAGGTGCAGTGTTACCTATTTGTGTTGCTGGGATCCATGCTTTTTGTGGATAAGAGTCGTGATCGCCTTCGTCCTGCGATCAACTTGTTTCTGAAGGATCATCGACGATTGACTGATTACGCTTGGGGAGCTGGTGCACTAGCCTATCTCTACAGACAGTTGGGAGTGGCCACACGAGCGGGTAGTAAGGGTCTTTGTGGTTGTTTGACCCTGCTTCAGGCTTGGATATATGAGTACTTTCCTCTTTTCCGTCCGAGCCAGCTGCCGCAGTCTCCGGATGCACCTCGTGCTTCCTCGTGGATTTCTCCCCGTTTGCCAGGTGGGGATGAGGCTAGACAGAGGTTAGCACGTTATCGACAGTTGTTGGATGAGCTTTCAGCTGATGATGTGACCTGGACTCCGTACGGACGAGATGGCCACACAGATATACCCCGCTCCTTGTATACTGGCCCCATTCGCTTTTCTGACATTGTTGAGGGATACGATTCTGCACGTTGTCTGCGCCAGTTTGGATACCGACAGATTATCCCCCGTGCTATGACAGTACCACATGACCAGTATCGTCCGGCTTCCGGCAGCAGTTACATAGTCTTTTGGGATCCGTGGGTGAATCAGTTGTGGGATAACGTGGCAGCCCGTCGTCTAGATTTGGATTTTGCTTCTCGGCCGTGCGAGCAGCCATCGGAGATCGTGGAGGAGTACGTTGACTGGTTTCTGACTAGATCGCACCCACGGATCACCCACCCCACTGATGGGGAGCCTCAGCCTCGACCACTACTAGTTCATCAGGTTAGTTATGACTTTCTTTTGCTTTTCCAAATATAAAGGACATTTGTTATTTATTCTAACATTGTTTTCTATTTACAGTTGAGAGAGCAGATTGTGGATCGTTTAGGTCCTGTGTTGCTGACGAGGGACCGGAGTAAGTGGGAGGAGGACGGTGGTAAGTTCTATGATATGGTAGCTGGGGTTTTCGAGTTGTACGACCAGTTGGTAGGGCAGCCGCCTCAGTAGACGATTGTGTTTTTTATTTGTCATCGTTTGTAGTTGAACTGAGACTATTGTGTGTTTTATTTGTCATCGTTTGTAGTTGAACTGAGGGGTCGTTTGGAAGTTGCGATTGTTAAATAGATGTATTGTTGAGAATGAATGTATAATATTATACATGTATTGTCGAATTTGATGCATTGTAGAATACAACGTTTGGTATGTGTGATTGTGTATGTCGCATCAGCTAAAAGTTGAGACAAACCAATCTCAACTCAACTATCTCAACAATCACAACTAAAAGTTGAGATATAACAATCACTCAAAATGAGTGATAGTTTCTGTCACATCACAGAAACAATCCATGTATTGTTTCTGCTAAAAAAACAAAAAAACGATGCATTTAAACAATACATGCATAATGACAATCTCAACAAAACTATCGCAACTTCCAAACGACCCCTGAGACTATTGTGTGTTTTATTTGTCATCGTTTGTAGTTGAATTGAGACGGTTGTGTGTTTTTTTACTTTAGTTACATTCAATGCATTGCTAA